ATTGCTATGGAGAATACCTTTACTGATATTAAGGTGTAGAAGGTTAAGAGATGTGATGGACACTAATCAAGTGCATTATTTCATCAGTTCACGGTACATTTTACGGTAGCTGGAGGCAAGGGTTTTTAAAGTATGAAATGATATGGAACAATTTGATGTATAATTTGTGGAAAAATCACACAATTATGAACAACATTGACTCTAAAAGTTCCTCAAATCGTCGCTGTCAAAGTCATAATTTGCATCAAGTAACATGCTTCGTGCACGCTTTTAGCTTTATCTTCATGATTATGTTACGTTTACAAAAATTGAGAGATAATATATACCCAACTTCTTCTGAAAGTTCTTATCCATAACTCTAGCTGTATGCATGTTTAACAGTCTGCTTTGATGATAATCACTTCTTTCTATAGAAAGAAGTGATTATCACCAAAGCAGACTGTTAAACATTCAGTTTACAAGAATGAAAAAAATATATGCCCAACTTGTTATAATGATTAGCTATATATCATTATAAGAAGTTGGGCATATATTTTTTGCATGATGCACAGTGATTGGTTGCTGTCACATTCTGTACTAAATAAAATGATGAATACTACAGAAAGAGAGACCTGTTGTTAAGCTACTCTTCTTAACAAGATCCTCAAGGGTCTCTGCAAAAAATAAGCATGCAATGTACTTTGCAGCCAGTTTGTGATGAAACCACTAGGAGACACAATTGATCTTGATGGCAGTTACATTATGCATTCCTCCATGATAAAAAGACTAAAAGACTAAAACTTAGTCCTAACTTATTCTCTTGAAGATACTAGTAAATTTGAAAATCCTAATAAAAGCCCCTACAATTTGAAAATCCTAAAAAATCCCCTACAATGTATCTTCAGTGCTCTTGCTTTCAGTGCTTCCTAATGATCACAACAGAGACAAAGCTGGAATAAATTGGGTAAAACTGACATGATCTTGTTACTGTTGGCCAAACAATTTGTCAACTAGAGATTCTTACATCAATCACTGTGTAACAGCTTGACAACTAATCTTCCATGGGCGGCATGCATGAAATGAAAAGATGATAATTATAAGTATAATTCACCAAATTTATCATCTGACTTCTGACTTTGTTGATTTGGTTGCTAATATTTGAAGTAAGTATATGTTTTCATCAGTTTAAACTTTTCTTACCTATTTTTCAATAGTTTATAGAATATTTTCGCCAAATGAATCAAACAGAGCTTCGCACCATCATCCTCTCCATGGATAACAACAGTGAATCTGTCAGTGACAAGATTTTTCTAGATGTACTTTTCTATATTTCTGAATTCAGAGATCAAACAAAGATGATTAACCCACATTATAGTTATAGTGATTGAAAATACATGATGTAAAATCTTGGATTGCAGAAAACAAAAAATTTACCTCAATTTCACTGCATTTTGCAAGACAGGGAATAATCAAATGGTATATAACAATCATGCAAGTACCTGCACTGCACTTTCAACTGGATTCCAAATATCTTGAGCAGAGTATGCATCTAATTACCACCTTAAAAAGTTTTCTTTTAGATAATATAGTCATTAACATAGTTTATTAATTAACATAGAATTACAGAAATACTCTCACTTATGAGCAGAGATTCTCAGTAAGTGTCTTTGATTTTGACCTTTGGAACAGTTTTGATACCAAAGGTACCTTCCCAGTGTTCAAAAGGAAAACATCATTACCTGATTCATCCCAGTGATCTGAATAAAGAAATATTTAAAACTCCTTTCAGAAAAGATTATCATACCACAATTGACTTATTTTCTTAAACTACGTGAATTAAAAACTCAAGCCCTTGTGATTTCAATCACTTCCCACTTTTTTTGAAGAAAGAGCTGACATCATATATGAATATGATGTGGGTTCTTTTTTCATAAGATGAGATTGTTCAAAAGCAATCCGAAGTACTTGAACCAGTATATCTGCATGGTTTGAAAAATTTTTGTTTAACAGTCAGATTTCCTTTTTACAATTCAACTGTAGTTCATTAATTAGAAGAAATCCTTAAACAAATTATACATTAATTATCTCAACCCAGACAATCACACTACTTTTCATGGACTTTGCAGTTGAAATCTCATGCAATACAAAATGGTTAATATAAAAAAAAACCTTTCACGTTTAGGTATTTATTTATCATTCATAGGAAAATACTCATCAGATACAAGAGCTTACTGTCAGAAAAACCCTGATCATACCATTATTGAATTATTTTCTTAAACTACATGAATTAAAAACTCAAGCCCTTGTGATTTCAATCACTTACCATTTTTTGCGAAGAAAGAACTGACCTCATTTTTGTCCAAGGTAAGATGGGATTGTTCAAAAGCAACTCCAACCTGTGAGTCTACATGGGTTGAAAAATTTTTGTTTAACAGACAGATTTCCTTTTTAATTCAACTGTAGTTCATTAATTAAAAGAAATCTTTACACTAACTATACATTAATAATCTCAACCCAGACAATCACACAACTTTTCACAGACCTTGCAGTTGAAATCTCATGCAATACAAAATGGTTAATATAAAAAAAAACCTTTTACCTTTAGGTATATTATCTATCGTTCATAGCAAAATACTCATCAGATACAAGAGCTTACTGTCACTAAAAACCCTGAGCATGATAGAATGTTATTGCCTTAAATTTTTCACCACAAAGATTGTTACATTACAATTTACCTTTCTCAGTATCCTCTGTTGTTGGTGTAACTACTGAAGACTTTCATCGCCATTTGAACCAGCAGGATTTCTATTCAAGAATAAAATCATTCCATCATTAATCAATGATCGGCCCATGTTGATTGAACTTCTTAACCACTGTCTTGATTGCTAAAAAGGTTAACTGTCTACATTATTCATTCTATATTTTACATTTCCCTTCTCATAAGCCTCGGGTGACTGTCGATGCGCCCACTGATAATTTAGGTTATCCTAAGGAAAATCAACAGCCACCACTAGCAGAAGGACACTCTTACATCATCCTTTGGCAAATGAAGGTGAAAATTAAAGCTATGTAATAATTGAGTGAAATTCAATATATAAACATTAGATGAATCAAAGGTTCTTTTATACCAAATGCAAGTTCCATTGAACTGTCTACTTACGATCTTCTTTCCACTGGGCTCAGGTGATGATGGGAACTGGGGAGGTTGATCAATAGGGGGGTCAGAGCTCTCCTGAACAGGCACTATAAAGAGGTCAAATGGTTGATAATTTGAATGTTTATTTTTATGTTCAGTAGATATGAAAATATTCACAGAAAATTTTTGGATTACTCCCCATGATAGAACATCAACTAATTTTCACTCATGGTGAGGTTTACACTGAGTCTACAGATGCATAATAATTGCAAATTACCCTTTCTTCAGCTTAACCCTATTTAACATGTTACTTCTCCCTGTAATATTCACACATTATCCAGCAGACAGGTAGTGAGAATACTCAAACTTATCTGGTAGAACTTTTTACCTTGATCTAACACCAAATACTCATAACTAATTTACAAGGAAATGAGTAGCAGCTAGTGGGGAGAATTAACATTCAGATATTTAAGTTAAAGGGTTAAAACACCGGCAAATTTTACAAAAGTTAACTATCCTAAATAAGTACAAATTGAGAGAATATTTCAATTGGAATATACAAAAGGCTAACTGCAGCCCTTGGCTGAACTTATTGCAATAGAGCATACTGATTAAACAGCAGTAATTACCTTCTTGACTGGGGGCATCAAGTGCTGGTGATGCCTCATATTTCTGAGCTAGAACTGGAGTTCCTCCTTCAGGCTCAAAGACTGGGAGAATATTCCACCTGGGATACAAAAGGCTAATGGCAGCCCTGGCTGAACTACTTGCAATAGAGCATACTCATTAAACAGCTGCAGTAATTACCTTCTTGACTGAGAGCATCAAGTGCTGGTGATGCCTCATAACTCTGAGCTGGAACTGGAGTTCTTCCTCCAGGCTCAAAGACTGTGGTAAGACAACAAGTTAACTATCCTAAGTAAGTACAGATTGAGAGAATATTCCACCTGAGATACAAAAGGCTAACAGCAGTCCTTGGCTGAACTACTTGCAATAGAACATACTCATGAAACAGCAGTAATTACCTTCTTGACTGGGGGCATCAAGTGCCTCATATTTCTGAGCTGGAACTGGAGTTCCTCCCTCAGGCTCACAGACTGCAGTAAGACTCTCACTTGGAGTCACTTCATTATAGGATGATGTCAAGATTCCACAGACATTTAGTGATGATGCACTACTAATACCAAAATCTTTCTCTGACTGTTCAGTGCTGCTTGATACCCTTACAACAATGTCCCGCAAGCTTGATGTGGCTGCTTCTATTATGCTCCCAATGTAACAGTCAACCTGCTGTCCATCAATTTTCATTGACTCCCTAGAACTGGGAGCAGCATTCTGAAAGTAATAAATAATAATAAAGTCACCTAAGAAAAGTAAAGTAGAAACTATTACCCTAGTATTGATTCCTTTAGAGGTTCATGTAGTTCATGTATGGTTACACACTAAATCTTAATTCTTCAGAGTTCTGTTACAATATATAAACTGGCAAACCAAAAGCTGGTAAATCCTCATAGGTTCATGCATAGTAGACTCAAAGAGATTTGATAAGCAGGGTTTCAAACTAAGGAGAATCTAGTGCACTTTAGACAAGGTTAGTTGTATGTATTATTAGTTTGGGTTTTTTTAATTGATTTCCAAGTAACACTTTCAATATATAGCATGGCTTGGGATATTTTAGGTGCCCCTTTATTAGTGGGGAAAGGGGGGGGGTGGTATTCCTCCTCTGCTAGACATCATTTGACATGTGATCCAAGTCATTATCATAATCATCATCATCATTTTTCCTCCACCGCTCTAACATCCAGATTATGTGAACAATTTCGCCCAATTGGGGAATGTTTAAAATATGCTTAAAAGTGCGCCTTTGCAAAATGTAAAATCCAACTGCGCTCTTTCTTAAAAAAAGGTAGGTTACTGCATTTCTATGACAATGAGACCCTCACCGTACAAATTGAGTGTCAAGCAATTCGACAAAGAAACGGCCGCCATAATTAAGTGGACGTATGAAGGAAATGAACATGCAGCTGAAGATTGCTTTCCTCTCTATCGATCACTTAGAGTTCTCCTCCACGTTTTTGGACTGAAATACTCTGTCCAATACTCTCTCACACACTCCTTTTGTAACGTCTACCAGACGATCGATTGTGATTCGTTAGAAAACTTCGCTATGTGTTAACCTTAAAATTTATTCCCTGCCCCTCCCCTGTAAAGACAGTGTTTTGACTCGTAACCAGGGTTCACGCCGTGCCCTGACACTTTCGCAGAGAAGCTTCCTTTCAAGCAAAGGGTGGCGATCGTGACTGGTATATTTATTGATGCAAAGAAAGTGTTCGAAACTGACAGGTGACCCCATTAGTTAGTAGGTTTAGAAGCTGTCGTTTCTCCTGAATCTCACAAAGTGCAGCTGAGAAATTGAAACACGAAAACAAGCAGGCCAAATAAACAGACCGTACGTCTCTGAGTTCAATAGATACTTGAGGGCTTCTAAGCACTCATTTTCATCTCAATTTCTTCCTCAAAAATTAGCAATTCAGTATGAACGAAACCTCGCTAGTAAATAAGTCTTTCTCCAACCAGTGAGCGCGCAAAAATACCGTACTATTACACGAATAGGAAAAAACCTTGTTCAGAAATTCCATCATGCAATGTTTTCCATAGTACTCTGTTGTCTTGAAAATATTTCGTTTTGTGCCTATCTCTTGTCTGCACTTACCTGATATCCTTTCCAATTCTACAGTCAAATTTTTGACAACTTTGCTCATGAATGAAGCGCGCGCATTTTACTCTCATTTCACGCGTGAAAAGATCCACTTACCACGACAAAATCTTTCCGAATTCTCATTGTTCTTTACCACACAAAACGCTGAAAGATCGAAACCTAGTCAGATTTGTTCTTACCGTGCGCCATTTTGGACGACCGACAAGTCCACCCGAAGCGGTGCTATTCCGTCGATCTCTAGGACTATTGTTGTTGTTGCTGTTGTTGTTGTTGCTGTTGTTGTTGTTGCCATGGTTGTGTTGTTGCTTTATTCGTTCAAAAGACGCATTTTGATTATCTAAGACCTGCGCCCCTTAATTTTTAGCTTTGTCTCTTCGCTTCCTCTTCCAGCACATTTGAATTCTTCTTTTTCTTCTCATTTAAAGACAACTTAACTTAATGTACGCAGGAGCCCAAAGGCTTGGCTCACGACAAAGTCCGAATTTGTCCGACGAAATATAGCTAGGAGCTCAATTTAACCACCTCAAGTACCCAAAAATAAACAATGAATAGTACTCACGTGGACAGGGTTAATCTCTTTGATTGCTTCCATCACTTTCTTGAATTTTCTCCCGAATGATTGTTGAAAGAGCCGAGCTCCAACCAACGGAAAGTTATAATGATGGGTTGCAATTTTCGCGCGTCGTGATGACGTAACAGACGAGATGATTAACTAATCAACAGATTAGCAAGTATACGTAACATCTGCCTCGTTTTCAGGCGCCTTTGCACTGGTTTAGGAAAGCGCGAGAAACTGCCCGAGTGCGCAGACTGCTAGATAGGAGGATATCGACAGATTTTAATAAACGTTCGCCCATAGACTGCTTCAGGCTCTCATTTAGTCGAAGCGATTGCAAAAGCAGGTGGACAGGTCCAAGAAACGAGACTGAGAAAGATCGGGAGCTTGTCAGGAAATATAAAGGGGTGCGTCGTTCCGCAGGTAAACCGGTCGAGGGCTGTCGGTTACTTTGGCCACCACGATGCGCTGACCACTGACTGAGAATTTAGCACAGACTTCTTCGCAAATGAAAGGTTCTGGATGGGAAAATGACAAAGATCGGGAGCTTTCCAGGAAATGATGAAAAGAGCGCGTCCTCCCCCAAGAAAACCAAGTCTTCAACTGCTCGAAATCAAGCTGTTTTGTCGTTGATGCTTAGTTTGCTTGCGAACATATGAAAATGAGAAAATCATAGGAGTGCTAAGTTCTGCTTCGTACGTAGCGTACGAACATTCCTCGGCAAAAGTAAGCTAATGAGTAATTAAGTAATTTTTGGCTACAAGTTCATTACACAATTTGACGGACAGGCAATGAAAAGACAAAAAGTGACTAAACTGGATTGAAGCTTTGATATCACAACAAATTGTCGATATCAAAAAACATGGAAATATATTTAGGACATAAGTTATGAATGACCTCATACGCCAATCACAGCGACCAGAAAACTCGCGCCACTCTTTCTACCAATCAGGAACAAAAATTAAACCAATCACCACTTGGTCCTTCACGTTTTCCCGCGCTTCAGGTAGTTTGGTTGGTTTTACTTTGAGTTCTTATCTTCAAGGCATTTGCCGTCCATCTTATTTGCCGTTGTAGTTTCGTTTTACGATATTTTGTTGAAAAGCGTTATATTTTGTAATTCATCGAGATTTACCGATCTTTCTCAACTTATTGAGATAAAATGTATCAAAATGTTCGCGCGGGAGGATTGTTGATTGTTGCCATGATTTTCAGTTTGCAAGACGCCTAATGCAAAACGCTGACTGAGAATATTTCCTGCCGTCGTTTACCTTTGTCTATATTAAAAGTTATATTATATTAGAAGTTTTCAATTTTTTAAAGTTAAAGAATACATTTTCTTAACTGTTATGCTTGTTTCATTAACATTAACCTAAAAAGGTTATCCTGAATCTAATTCTAGAAAGCAATCTTGCCGACATTTTTACCAGATATCTAGAGGTTTGATTTTTGCCTCAAAAACATCTTATTTCCTTTTCACCTGAGGTCGCACGAGTCAGCGCATTGCGAATGATTGCATCATTGCATGATGGGAACAAAAACTGCTCGTTAGACACAAACCTTACATTCTACTGAAACTAGAGACTCGTTTAGAGATTGAGCTAAGTGTTGAAAGAGTAGCGTTAAAATTGTAGCGATAGGTTCAGACTTTAAAAGCAAAACCAATGAAGCTAGTTTACCTTTTGACAAGTGGTAGTGACCCTACGAATTAAGAAAACGGAGAGGTGGATCAAATGAATGATTCTGATTTCCTTTCCATTTTCAACTTTGAGTTAAATCAGGGTGATCCAATTTCGAATTGCCTAGGTATCGAGTTGCTCAGGGTAAAATCGTGTAGGCAAGAGTTCAAGAAGGGTCCAACTACCCAAGGTAATTGGGTTGTGGTAGTTCTTCTGTGGCAGGCCTACAGTAGGATTTGGCCGACGTTCTTTTTTTCATGGTCAACGCAAAAGGAAAATTTCATTAATTCTTGAAATGCTTAAAGTCCTCTACTAAGACACAGATTCTGTCATCTTCTCATGTAAACCCGGCCAAACCACGATCACATTAGGCGATTATCTCGGTGATATGACCAGTGAATTGAACGAGGATGATTACATAACTGAGTTTGTATCAGGCAGTGCCAAAAATTACGGATATCTCACCAAACAAGGCAAGTCATCAGTACATCGATCTACTCTGAGCTATCGTGGAAGTTGGTACCTGAATTACGAAGTTATGAAACAAAACGTCTTGGAGGAAATTACAGATCCTTTGGATGAAGAGTGAAGAACCATACCCGTGACCAACCCTTATTTCTTTGTTCAGGAAACCAAAACAAAGAAAATTAAGACTGTCGAGCGTGTCAAACAGTACGGTTTAGTGTTTGACAAATGCGTGATTGACAAAGACACTTTTATGTCGTATCCGTACGGATATAAAAGGTTGTAAGTTTAGTGACGTTCATTAGTAAACCATAAGAACCCAGAGAAAGAGAAAGACATTACGTTTTTTCAAAAATGTGCCTGGTCCAAAGAATTGATAACGTTTCTTCTTAGATGAAGAATAAGGATGAAATTCCACTCCTGATTTTCCAATCCAGTTTTTTGAATGTCAAATTTGCCTCCTCTCTGCCTTTTTTTTGGTGGAGCCTTTCTTTTGGTTCTTGTTTTCTTAGAACTCCTCAGTCTTTGTCCAGTTGTCTTCTCAAGGGTTTTCGTAAAGTAGCCTCTTCGCCTTCTTTTAACCAATCCAATTCTGTCTTGCGTTTGACTTTGGTGGGTTGTTTACCCTTTTTTATACTCTTAAAGGAAGTTTCTAATTGCTATCGATAATCATCCATTAATTAGAGATCGAAAGTTTGAAGGAGTGGGTCTTTTCTTCGTAGATGAGGTGCCAGGTGTGGGTGAGACTCGTTTCTTCATGCACGCTGGTATTTTAGGGGTCCCAGGAGAGGGAATTTCCTTCTTGGGTGTCTTGAGGGGCGCAATGTCATCTTGCAGTTTCTTCTTCTGTTTCTTTGCCTTGCGTTTGAGTAAATTTTCCACAATTTTCTTCTGTCATGGCACTTTCTTCAGACTCTATATCTGCCAAACCGGCCGTGGGTACACTTGGAATATCTCTTCCTTGTTTCGTCAATTATCTACGTTCTTGTAACAATTCTCTGGTCTGTTGATTCGCTATAGCATCCGGCACCTTTGGATTGTTTACAATAATATGCTCTTTGGCAGCAACACGACCTGCTTTATTTAGTAAGGCACTGTCCGTAATTTGTCCTTTGTAATATTGAACGAGTTGTTGAAATTCTTCGGGCTTCACCATGAAGTATTCTTCAGCCATCTACGACGTCGCATGGTTCTTGATAATATTTTTCCAATGATGCTTCATACGCCTTTCTCCAGTACTTGATTTTGTGTTTACTCTCACACAGCTGGCTTTTGCAAATAATAAATTCTATTTAAGTTAGATACATATGTGACGACACAATATACTGGTGTATAATGATTTTGTTGTATAAGGATTAGATACGTTTCAGTATACCTCTCCTTCTTATCCAAGTGTGTACTGAAAATTATACTTTCCTAACACAAAGTGTAAGGTTAATTGTACAAGTAATTTAACATACCTAGAAAGTAGCTCTGAACTGGACATATTTGGTATATATATATTATTTGCCGGCTGGGAGGTCCGTATAGTGAAAAACTGTGACCGAGGTCTTGAAAATACTGCCCGAGGCCGTAGGCCGAGGGCAGCATTTTCAAGACCGAGGTCACAGTTTTTCACCATACGGACCGACCCTTAGCCGGTAAATAACATATTTATTGTTTTTAAACTTGACGAAATTCTTTCCGAAAGAACCCGAATGATTTATGGACGTAAATACGGCA